AAAAGAAAGAAAGAGAATTCCCCGTGCCTTAATTGTCCATGTTAAAATAGCATAAAATCCAAGAAAATTAAATTCTAGTGATTAGTTTAAATAATTTGAAGTTGAAATACTCCAAGAACTATGTTATAATATTTGAGCTCGTCAATTGCGTTAGGCAGTGGCAAGTGAAGGTGGAACTGATGATGCTAAAAGAAGAGGTGATGCTTTTGCTCGTGCTTTCTCTGCTCACTTGGCAAGGTGACTTACTCTAGTGAAACATTAAAACTTTTCTTTTTTGTAGTTTGTTGATAACTGGTAAAATCTAATTAACCCGTATAGATGGCAAACTATCATGATTGTAGCTGAGGTTCTATTTCTTTTATATCTGTGAGGATTGTTATATAACGATAGATACTTGTTAGGTCACTTTGCTTAGAAATTTTCATCTGAGAACAATTAAGTGCTGCTTATCGCAGGGTGAGGTCCTAAATGGAGCACAATGGAATGATATAGTCTATTTAGCCACCCCCACAGAATGGGAGCAGGCTTTGTTTGTTATTGTAACCAAAGAAAATTCCGCTTTTATTATTTGGTGTGCAAATGTAAACAGCAGTTGTTACAAAACTTGCTTCCTAGATTTTTTTTATAGTTAATTATGTTTTTCAAAAGCTTGTGATACTTCTACCAAAAAAAAAAAAAAAGCTTGTGATACGTTGTATTATTGTTTCTAAATTCTGTTGAACTAAAAATCATGGAGATAAATTGAACTTTTACTTTTGGATGCTTATGCACTTGCAACCTTCTGAATAGGTTGATGGAGGAACCAGCAGCTTATGGGAAGTTAGGATTGGCCAATCTGTTGGAACTAAGAGAAGAGTGCTTGAGGGAGTTTCAATTTCTTGATGCTTATAGAAGCATCAAACTGAGGTAACCTGCATTTCAACCTAGTTTTGAAAATCATTTTTCTTTTTTAAGATTTAGCAGTCCCCTTTCCTTTGTTATGTCTGTGTTCACACTATGCATGTTTGCTTCCCTATTACTACCTTGCATCAATATTTTCTTTTTTACTTGTCTGTACATGAGCATCAAAAATAGTTTTTTGTGCAGACCACTCGTAGGAAATCCTTGTGTGATGGATGTGGAATGTTTATTTAAATGCATATAGCTGGCAGAGTATATATTGTCCCTTGATTTGGGTAGATTTAGAGTAGTTTTCCTCAATGTGGTAATTTTTAGTATAATAGCCCTTGGTATGGTTGGTATTTTGAAAATACAAAAGCAAGCAATGAGCAGAGTAAAAATAAATATACCATAATATAAAAGTGTTTAACACCTAAATATGTATGAGGTAAAAGATAACTTTCTTGGCAAATAGCAAGCAAAAATTAGATGGGCTGTTGCATCCATTTTTCCATTTATTACTTTGTTTTTGTTTCTTATAAAGTAACTTTATCATCTATATTCTATTTAAAAGAAGGATTTTTTTTTTTTGGGGGGGGGGGGGGGGGTTGGGTGGGGGTGGGGGCATATTAGTTACACATCGATAATGGTGTGGATAAATTTAAAGAAGCCCAATACTGCATTGACAACCTTTGGGGGGCCTATGGCCTCCCTTGACCAGAGCTAAAGTATGCCCCAAAATACAGGGTAGGTCTATGTAGTGTAATACGTGATTTTTTCTCGTCACTATTATTTTCCAAGCATTTGTGCATAGTACATGAAAAGGACATTAGAATTTAGAACTAGTTGGAAGATTTGTTCAAATATCTTCCTGGACGAGTAGTTTTACAGAACAGATATACACGTACAGTTTCATGACACATTTTACCAAGTTGATGCACACAGATGTGCATATTAATGTTGTTTCTTGGGAGTTCATTAACTTCATTCATTTGTCACTGTTTTACCGATCATGACAGGGAAAATGAGGCATCTCTTGCTGTTTTACCTGATCTGTTGCTGGAGCTTGACCGTATGGATGAGGTATGGTCATCTAGAATTTCCCCTTCTTTCCTATTTGAAGGAGCTTGCCCATTAACAAAAATACTATATCAGAAGCTGTTAATTATCTTGCCTCAATTTGATTCATTCTTGCCTGAAAAATGTAATTTTTGTTATGAAAATTGCTTGATAAGGTAAAAGATTCAGTTGTGAAATATGTGTCCGTTCGAAAATTTCTGACTTAGATTTTCAGTTTGCTTCACATAGTGCACACTACCAGATCTATTGCCCTGCTTTTGCCACTATTTTACAACCTTTCGAAATTCTCCTCACTTTGCAGGAGGCAAGGTTGCTTACCTTAATTGAAGGTGTTCTAGCTGCAAACATATTTGACTGGGGATCCCGTGCCTGTGTTGATCTCTATCATAAGGGAACAATTATTGAAATTTATAGAATGAGTCGCAACAAAATGCAAAGACCATGGCGGGTAAGTTGAGAAAAAAATTGATTATCTATATGTAATCTTGGTTTGCACTGTATTAGTCTTTATTGAATGTTTGGTAGAAATTTCAGTGCATGAGAAAAATTCTTCTTTCCTGTGTTACAGGTGGATGATTTTGACCTCTTTAAGGAAAGAATGTTAGGATCTAAAGGGAAGAAACCTCGTCCCCATAAGAGAGCTTTACTCTTTGTGGACAACTCAGGTGCTGACATTGTCCTGGGCATGCTTCCACTAGCAAGAGAACTCCTCCGACGTGGAACAGAAGTAAGTTTGACTCTTTATTGTTCTGGTGAAAGATCTCCATGTGGATAATTAGTTTCACGATAAGATTGCATCAAGTAGTGTTGACTTTACACTTCTGAGCCCTTCGTTGCCTGTCTGAAATATATCTCAGTTCTCTTTCAGTGTGATGTGTTGTAAATTAAGCAGTATAATTTTTCTTTTCTGAAGATGATGATTTTGCTACACAGAACCGCCATAACATTAGAACTGTACTAGCAATCTTGCCATGTGGACTGGATATCCTCTGCAGTGACTTTATCTTGTTTTCTTACCATTTAAATTGCAGAATAACTTATAACGAGATGTTTCTGCAGGTTGTTTTGGTTGCAAATTCTCTTCCTGCACTGAATGATGTAACTGCTATGGAGCTTCCTGATATTGTCGCTGAGGCTGCAAAGGTTTGCCTTTGTTGATATAGCTTTCTTTCCTTTTTCTTCACTTCTACATTATCGATTATTTGATAGCTTATTAGTTGTACATTTTCTTAAGCATCTCATGAATGTTCTCTATTTAATTCTAGAAAAAGAGGGAATAAATTTCAGAAATAAAGTTGTATAGATGAACTAGTATACAACTTGTATTTAACTGGCAGTGTATCGAACACTTATGTAGCAGAGATGGGGTTAATGAAATAAAAATTCTAATGCAACTGATGCATATAAATCATTTGTGGTTTCATTTTAGTTTTTGTTGTACTTTGTACCATCATGCATTGAAAACAGTAGGCTGATTCTTCTAGCACACAGCATTGTGACATTCTTCGTAGAGCTGCCGAAGCTGGAGGTCTCCTAGTGGATGCAATGACTAACACCTTAGATGGTTCTAAAGAAAATTCTTCTTCAGTTCCTTTGATGGTTGTTGAGAATGGTTGTGGGAGCCCATGCATAGATCTAAGGCAGGTCAGCTCTGAGCTAGCTGCAGCAGCCAAAGATGCTGATTTGGTATGTTATTTATTCTCTTGATGCCTGAACTTTGTCAAGCATTTATTTGGATTAACCTTTTCACTGCCTTTCTTACTTCTGTTTTGAGAATAAGAAAATGCTAAAGGAAGTAAGAGAAATCATGCATTTTGCTATGCAGATTATTTTAGAAGGGATGGGTAGAGCTCTTCACACCAACTTTAATGCTCGGTTTAAATGTGAAGCCCTGAAGGTATGGTTATGTGATCTTGTATCTCGGAATATAAAAGCTGGAAGAATCATTGAGTGGACCTCTTTATAGGCTTTTTCTTTAGCTTAGGGTTCTTGATACTACGGTGATCTTATTCACCAAAAGGCTTTAATAATCATTTGAGAGGGTAGAAAACATGAAAAAGAGGATAGTGTTTCCAACCTGCAAGTTTCAGCCTTTGAGGTTTTGAAAAAGATATGTCTTAGAGGTTTCCCTTGACTCTTTAATTTTTGACAAAATATCTTTGTTTGCAGCTTGCAATGGTGAAGAATCAGAGGTTGGCCGAAAAACTGATCAAAGGAAAGATATACGATTGTGTTTGTAGATATGAACCCGCCAGTTGAAATCTTCTTTAATTACAAGCTGCTGTCGGTAAAAAGGAAAAATAAAACTTGTGGAACGGAAATGGAGCAACCACAGCTTTAGCCTATATCTTTCTTTTGTCTTAAATTTATGATTTTGTTGAATAGTGCACTCAGTGTTTACCGAGGCAGCTGGGCGCAGAGGTTCTTAAATTATGTTAGTAACTTTATCATTTGCTGATTTGAGAAGGAAGATAGAGTCTTCATTAGTGCTGTCATCAGAAATGTTCTTCAATACATCAAATGTACTTTATCAGGAAAAAAATTGTTTGTAGATGTTAATACCTATCGTCGTCGGTTATGTAGTTTGGTGATCAGAACTATTATTAGTTTCTACTTAGTGATAAGTCTTCATGCCTGCTCCAGATTTTCCAACGGATGGTAACAGACTTTCCAAAGTGTTGTTCCATCATGTCTAACACGCGTACAAATACAATACAAAAGGCAGGCCCAATCACACTAGCTGTAGGCTTTATGCAATATATCGATCATGCAGATCCCTTCGACATAACATAGGTTAGATCTCCTTTCAACATAACATAAGTTGTCGAAAGAATCTCAGAAACTCAGCAGAGCACGTATCATATTTTATAAACTGGATTTTTATTCTAAGAGTGCATAACCGCAGGCATGAATAAGCTCACACTAAGTGGATTGCATTCGGATCATATAAATATCCTTTCAACACAAGTAGATATCCTTCTAACACAACATGCCTTGTTGAAAGGATCTCGAAAACTTATCAAAGCATGAAAGCCAGGATCTTTCAGAAAATATATTCTTATTCGAAGAGTTCATAACTGCATGGATGAACTGACTAACCACGATAGCAACAAAACCAGGGAAAGTATACAGAAAAGATAGTTATTTTCTTTCTACCTCTTGATAAAGATGGCTACTAGGCAGGTTGAGGAAAAGTCACTTCAAACATCGAAAACTAGGGCTATTGAAATAGAATAAAAAATTCAAATTAAGCAAAACAAAAGCAAGTACAAAACTTATTATTGCTTTGCATCTCTGAATCTGACTAGTAACTGCCTTCCATACAACAATGGAAGTACAATATCTTCGAGATGACTGACCCAGTAAAAGAGAACTAAAAAAGCAGTGAGAAGAAAGAAAAACCCAAAAGCTTACTCCATGACAGCAAATCCTCCAGCTGCCTTTATCTTCTCTATTATAGCATTTGCTTCCTCCTTGGTGATCCCTTGTTTGAGCAAAACAGGTACCTTTTCAACAAGGTCCTTGGCCTCTTTCAAACCCAAACTAGTAAAAGCCCTCACTTCCTTAATGACCTTGATTTTTGCAGCAGCATCAAACTTTTCCAACTTCACATCAAAAGCTGTTTTCTCTTTCTTCTCCTCTACCTTTGTAGCTCCTGCAGCTGCTCCACCCTGTGAACCCAAGTCCATCCCTTCAGTCGCAATCGGCTGCAATTTTGGGAGACTTAGCCTCTCAGTGAGAGTAGGACCAATTTGTCTGCGCTCTTCAGGTGGTAGGGCAGCAATTCGTTCTGCCAGTTGAACAATCTTATCAGAGGGTGGTGGTCTTGGGCCATATGGATCATAGAATTGTGGATACTTGAACCTTTTAGGCTTAGCATTGGGATCTCTTGGAACAAAATCAGGCTGGAATGTGCGAAACTGTAAAGGCCCAATTATTTCACAAATGGAGGGGTGGGCGCGAATTGCTTTTACAAGTCCAACCAACTTCATTGTTTTGGATCAGATAAAACAATGACTCATGGAAAATATAGATAGAAAGAAGTTATCTGCTTCAACCAAGTAACTAAAGCTCACCTGCAGGGAAAGGAAAATTACCACTATTTTTCCCGAGGAAAAGCAATTCTAGTGTCTAGAAAGGCAACTAATATCAGGCAATCCAAACAACAGATGTTGACTGTTGGAACAACTAATAAATTATGCACATTCACTAACAAACGAAGTCAATCAAATACACTGAGATCATATTCTATATATTTACTTAGAATGGTTACATTTAGTTGATACAATCATTGACTAAAGCTATCCTGGAGCTTTATCAATGGTGCAGGGAATAAAGAAATCAAGCCTACTCAAAAATTACTTGGGCTCTACTCACAATATATTAGCTTCATTTAGTTCACAATCAAGTCAAGCTCTATAATCAAGCAAGCCAAGCACAAGTATTTGAAGACTTGGCTCAAGCAAGTCCCAAGCCTAACTGAGCTTTAAAAAGTACATATATAACAATAAAATGTCATGCAAATATATAGTTAAAGCATGCCTTGAAGCTTGAGCTTAATTGTAAGCTACTAATAAGAACCTAATGGAGTTGTTAAAATCAAGTAGCTCTTCCTCTTTTCCAGGTAAGCTTGAGTTTAAACGGCAAATTTTGATCAATCACCATTTACCAAATTTATTTCAAATTGGGTTGCTTCTGACTTGTTTAGAAAGTAAGGTTGAGATATTGGATAATTTTCAATGAGTATGAGAACAACATTTGTCTAACCATCAAATTAAAGGGTAAAAATTACTAAAAAGATACGGAGAATACCTCCTTTCTAGCAATAAAAAAATCATTGTCCAAAAAAATTCCAAAACCCAAAATGAAAATGAACTAGAACAAACATGAAACCAGTATTTTAGACTAAATTTTCGTTTACAATAACAAAGATCAATCCCTAAACGAAACAAGGAATATTTGTAGGATGCCTGGGATAGGAACAGCCCAAGTAGAAATTTTAATATCCTTACAGTTTAACACAATTTAAGCATAATTTTAAAGAAAAAATCATCCAAAAGAATACATACCTTGACTAGAATTGGCAATGGGATCAGAGCTTGGCTGCTGCCGTAACCCTGCCGCCGCCAGTTATGGTGCTGCAGTGGTCACTACTCAGTCCTGGCCGAGAAGAGGGAAGATTGAAACTAACGTTGAGGGAGCTTGGCTGCCACTGCCGCCGCTCGCTCACTGATCAGTGATGCTTATCGGCAAAAGGGACCAAAGGCCAAGGGTTGAAGACATAGGGTTAGATGTTGGGCAGGATTAAAATAAGAAAGACATAGGGTTTTTTTTCCCGATAATTGGTAGGATTAAGGTTAAAAAGTAATTAAATATAAAATATTTATATATTTACTTAAAAATTGAATTATATAAAAAGAATAATCGTTAGTATATGTAAAGTGTTTCAATGACATTAATGTCATTAATTAGTGAAACCAAATTAGAGAATTTACATAAAAATTAAAATAAAATTATAATAATATAACTTTTGGAATATTTATTTTTTTATTTCTTAATAAACACACATTTTTTACATAAGTAATAGTCCTCTCGTAAAATAACTCTTTCTCCAAAAAAAAACATAATTATTAATTTTCATTTAAATCATTAATTTTTTATTTTTTCACTCGCACACAATGAATATGTCAAAATCTAATAAAATAAATGTATTAATAAAAGAAATAATATTATTAGTACAAAATTATCTCATATGATATTTTAAGTGTACACAATTAAAATTATCTCGCAGGGTTATTACATAGTACATACCCCTTTAAAATATATTTTATATATTATGAAAAATATAGAAGATAATATTTTAGCATCCCTTATAAAATATAAAGATTTTATAAACTTATAAAAATTAACTTTTATTATTACGAGCACCAAAAAATGCCCGTATTTCATTTCGGGATTTGTTAAAATTTAGATGTAATTTTTTTAATTAAAATATTTTAAAAAATATTTATTGAGAGAACATATATAATCTACATGTAAATTTTTTTAACTAAGGTAATCTAAAAAGAATTGATTTCAAAACTAATATAATATAAATGCATTTTTATTTTAAATGTGCAAAACAATTGAAAAAAATATCTTTTTGTTCCATGTGTCATTATGAAATATTGCATTACCAACATCAAGAAATTAATATTTTCAATATCTTAAAAAATTATAAACATAAATTTAAGAAAGCCACTTTAAATTTTAAAAAAGGGTAAATATATGTAACACTCAACTATAAACTTATAAATTAAAATCCAAAATTAAATAAATAAATTAAATATCAGATTAAATTTTACCAAAATAATTCTATCTATCTACATATTAAACTTAAAATTGCAGTACCTAAATAACTCTTATCCTCAGAGTTATTTCAAATACACATGTTAGACATGTAATCAACTTTTTTTTTCTACAAAAAAAGCTACATTGAAAGATATAAAAAGAGATTATAGGTGATTAAATTTGATATGAGATTTGTTAGATGCCCAATAGTGATTTTTCAAAGAGTCTAAGGGTCATGGCTCCCCAAAAATTTTGAATTTTTTTGTATACTTATGTTATTTTCATAATAATTTTAAAATTTTTTTCAATATAAAAAACTAGTTTGACCCTTTCAAACTTAAATTTATTGTATTGATATATATTACTTTTTATTCTATGTATTTATATTGGATATATAATTACAAAATTTTTTGTATCTAAATATTACAACTCTTAATTTTTAAAAAAAATTACAAATCATTAACTTGTATTTACTTATTGTAAATGATTTTGAATTTAAAATGAATAAATTTGTCAACAATATATATTCACAAACATGTAATTTTAAATTTAATATATATGCAAGTATTATAATAATTAAAACTGACTTAACAAATATTCAATTGTGATTCTCTTTTTAACTAATTTTTTATTATATTTTGCATGGTCATTTTATTTCAAAATTGTTATATGTCAAAATAATTAATATAATTAGTTTAAATACCTTTTCATTTCTCCTAATGTAAAATTATTACGTAAAAAGTATAAGGTTTCATTTTATCGTATCAAAGTCTTTATTTTATTATTTTAAATTTTAATTTTTACTTAAAAATATATTTTTGTCATATTTTTACTTTAATACTTTAATATTAAATATGATAAAATAATATGTTAATATTGTAAAAAAAAATAATGAGTTTATTTTTATAAAGAAATTGTTAATGATTTATAATTAGAAATCGTAAAATCAATTATTTAACATATCCATTTTATTTTATATATATAAATATATATTTTTATTATATCAATATGACAAAATCTTAGTACAAGTAAGTGAAATGAGGAAGCCTGATTCAAAATCAAGCCATTGATATCTTCTTAAGCGACTTTAACTATTAGAGTGAAGGCTTGAGGAAGAATTGAGTAAAAAAAATGTCAAATAGTAATTTCAAATGGGAAGAGAGCCAAAGTAATATTTTAGTGAGCTGGAGTACTATAGCATAGGAGAGGTAATATATATATATATATATATATATTTACATATTAGTATGCTTATAATTGTAGGTTTTGTTATTATATGTTTACATTTATTTTTTATTATTAATAGATTTAATCTATTTCTAAAAACTTATTATAAAATATTATTTTGTTTCTTTCAAAATTAAATGTCAAGATCTTTAGATGCCAAGAGTAGTTACATGAATTATCTTTAATTTGAAAAAAAAAATTATTATAAAAAATATTAAATACATATAGCTTTTATTAAAAGACCCAAATTGCTTTCTTAAATTTTCAAAAGCTCAAATATAACGCTAAAGACACTTATCAAATAAAGAATCCTTGTATCTAACTTTCATTTATTGGATATAAATTATATAAACAATTTATCACCAAATACTTGGAAGACTATAAAAGAACCATGGCGAGAAGTACAATGAACTCTACGAGAGAGGAAGTTAGATGGAAAGCAGCGAGGGTTTTGTGAAAGCAAATTTTGATTGGGCCTTAAGAGCAGAGAAGGGATTATACGGAATTGGTGTCGTGATCAGAGATGAGACTAGATTTGTTTAAGGGCCATGCTCAACTGTTGTGAAACGAGTTAAAGACCCAATAGTGGAATAAGGGTAAATAAAAGTTGGTTTTAATTGATTAAATTAACTGAAATTAAGTGAATTTAGTTGATTTAATTTAATTTTTTTAGTTTTGGTTATAATCGATTTTTTGATCGATTAAATTAATTAATTCGATTGATTTTAATTTTTAAAATTAATAATTAAATTGACCAAATTAGTTGATTTTCTAATAAATAAAAATAAAAAATTGATGAGTACTTTTATTTTATTCTTGTAAATATTGTTGAAATTATTAAATTTTTTAGTGATTTAGTTTCAATAATACTTGAATTTGAATTTTATTAAATTGAATTTGTTGTTAAATAACAGTTTATAATAAGAGAAAAAAATGATGAAAAATTTTGTTATTTAATCGAACCGATCGAATTGAATTGATTTTTGATCGATTTGGTTATAATTGATTATTTAAAAATTTTCAATCAATTTAAATTATTTGTTGAATAAAGTTCAATTAATTTTGTTGTTAACTATTTTCAAATCGAATCAACTAAATTGATCAATTACTCACTCTTAAATAGAAAGAATCGACCAAATTGATCAATTGCTCACCTTTAAACAGAAACTTTAGCAGCAATTAAAGCCATTGAAGTTACAAAGAAAATGGGATTCAAGTCTGTTATCATCAAGGCAGATTCTTTGATGATGTTACTTCTGAGGAATGTTTTAACTAATTGATCTAATGGAAACCACATTTGAAAAAAAAAAACTAGAGCTTTAATTTATGCTATTAAATTATGCAAAATAAAGTTATTGATAGTACTAAATTAAAAAAAAAAAAAAAAAAGTGAGAGAGAACTATTGTTTTGGTCAAGAAACTAATGCTAACCAATACTTTTTAAGCTGTAATTAATGAAAAATGTAATTTCAATTTGCCAACTAGATACTTGTATAAAATAGACTACAGATACATAAACTAGAGATCTTTTAGAAGGCATTCAAAAGAAAATCAAGGACCACCAAACTTGGACATTAATTAAATTAAAAAGGTACATGTACATTTGCTATTTTATTATATTCTCATATTATCATAGGTAATAAGTTTAATTAGCTTTATTAATTTTCAACTAATTTTGAACCTCAATTTGAAAAGCATGGTTTTAGTGACTTTTACACTTTAAAGTGATTAAAAGACGTCTTAATAAAAATCGACTTATAACTTTTGAAGAATGATTGCTAAAGATTACTTAAATTATTAAAAATAGAATTGAAAATGCTAAGAATAATCTAACACCAAACAAATACGATTTTGACAGAAATTGAAGTTAAATGAAATCGAGAGATGAGAAATCTTATCGATCGGAAACTATCGGCCACAAGGAAATTATATGAACTCAATACAAAAATATTCATAAATGCAAATGTTGATTGATCGAGTGCTCAAAAACTTACAGAATCATCAATTCACACCAGTCTAAAACTGAAAATAGAACTTGTTTACAAAGAAATCACTCACGTAAAACTTTACAAAATAAATTTAAGAAAGATTGGAAATAAAAAATAGAGCTGCTCTGCTGCTCAAGCACAAGTAGAATTGTCTGAAGTGTTTCTTCAATCTTGGTGGCTGTCTTCTTTTATAGACAATTTTGTTTCTTATTGTTGGGATAGAATTTAGGAATTACCCTGGCCAGTTGATTTTTTTAAGGCAATTAACTGTTACCTGCAACAAGGATGGAGAGTAGCATTGATTTGGATAAAGAATTTAACTAGAAACCAAGGAAAATTTTAATGTGTTCAAAAGGTAAAAAAAAAAAAAAAAAAAAAAACCTTAAAAAATGTTGAAAGTTAGTATAAATGATGAAAATATAGGTTTTAACATAAAATAATTAGTAAAAGATAAATATAAACATAAAACTGATTTTGGTTTGATTGTTGGAGTCCAATTTACATACGAAAATGAAGAGAGCAACTCTTAGTTGACTTCCGACATGAGCTCCTTAACTGCAGTACTCATCAGTTGGTCTTCATGGTTGCAGATCATGGATGATAGCCACCCTTGATCTGCACCTAACCGCCTTGTTCTTGTATATAATCTTTGAACATCTGCCTTGCTTTACTTCTCGTGTCTTGCTTTAAACCATGTTATTCTTCCCAAATTATCTTTCAAGTTGGGCTCACCATCAAAGCCCACAAGATCTTTTTTTTGGGTATATAGGATGGACATGCCGACATCCACATGTAAAAGATAAAACAAGAAACATAAATTTAATTAAAAGAAACTGGCAAAAGCACTCTATTACCTTCCTCGGTGTGACAACAAAATCCTAGAGATTTGAATGCCTTTTGCCCAAGACACCCAATCAGAAAGAAAAGAAAGAAAAAAAAAAAAAAAAAATCAAACAAACATTAATGCACTAAGGTGGCCATTTTTGGGAACTCCTTAAAGTTTTTCATTCACCACACAGTTTCCCCTTGTTATCTTAAGTCAATAGAGATTGAAGGCCACCCTAACAAAAAAAACCAGATATATAGTAGAAATTAATTTAAGGACCTTTCTTTCTACCAAAGGCATTTACTTGAAGCTGGATAATCTAGACACTAAAATGCAGATCATAACCACAGTCATTTTAAACCACATGCCAGGCTGCGACCAGGATTCTAAATGGTAGTTTATTACAGATTGCTTCAGACTAATGGATTTGTCGTGGAAGGTCCATAATTGTTCATCATTCCAGTCCAGGATCCCAAGTTGTTCATGTATCCATAAGTGTCTTTCCCAGCGTCAGAACACCCTTGGTCTTGCCATTCAAGGGACAAGAGTTTGGTGTTTGGCTTCACATCCATTGCATGTTGATCTTCATTTGCATCATAAGGAAGCATTATCCTCTGGCAGGTGTCCATGAAAGTACCACCATTGCCATCAAGGGACATCCCATATGGAGAGCAAAAGCCATGGAGATTTTGTGCGAGCCCATGAACCATATCCCAACTCCGCACGTACCAACTCACCAATGTCCCAAAAATCATAGTTCCTAGAGCTCCCAGCTATAGCTTCAAGCTTGCTCTCCATGAAATCAATCGGCATTGGATTTTCAAGCAGAGAATTGTATTTACTCTCCATGAAGTTAGTATTGGTACCATGAGTACCAAGTATGGTATTAAGGTGAGCAAGGTGCATTTCAGGAAATGAAAGGTGAAGATCAGTGGGATTATGAGAAGATGCTCCAGGGATGTTGTTCGCTGATTGTTCATTTGATTTTTTAGTAGCAGCTTTCTTGTTCTTTCTACAGCCTCCTCCAACGGGAATGTTCCTTAGCGTCCCTCCCTTGGTCCAATACCGTCTACAAGTTTTGCAAAAGTACCTCGGCTGGGAGAGGCTGTAATTGTTGTAGTAGCAAAATTTGGTGTGCGTTGAGTCACATCTGGGGCACTTCAGAGCTTGGTCATGCTGGGGCTTTAGCCTCCTTTCTATCAAGGGCCTTGAGCATGTGAGCATATCCCCAGATGGGGATGAAGAATCCATTCCAGACTCCTCGTGAATCGTTCCCTAAACATGCAAAACAAGGAAGAAGTGGAAAATATTTCAGAATTGTTAATTCAAACCAGTAATCTATAATATTAATTAACACTAGAGATTCTTTGTCGTTTACAGGCGGCAGATAATGCAATGACTAAATATTCCTTTATCCCTTTCACACATCTACCTAGATTGTCTGAATGCAAAATATACCAACTACACTACTACGCCAGTAGAGTCGTACAATAATTGCTAAACGAAACCCAAGAAGGAAATTCCCTAGTTTAAGCTACCAAATCTAGTAAAAACAGTTGACAATTTTGTAGCTAGTTTGCCTTATTTTAATAGTAGTATAAACGAATAATGCACAAATTCAATGTTGCTTGAATTTCAAAACAAATGAGAATTAATGCGTTTTCATTTGTCTAAACTGCTCCGTGCATCCTTGTTGCAGCTTCTTTCTTTCATAGTAGAAGTCCAAAATCTTTCTAACACAAATTAAGCTCTTCTAATTAACATTGTTTCATATGCATGGATTAATGCCGATTAGAGACAAATGTCATCCCAAGCATAACGAAGCACTTCCAAGTAGCAATGGTCTAGTTTGGTCGATGATGAAGAAAAATAAGGATATTATGTAAGACTTAATAGAGCTTTCAAATTCATAGAATATGCTTACCTGAAGCCAGTCAGATGAATCCATGCAAACTTGGAGAGAAGTAAGACCCATTAAACAAAGACAGAATACCAAATATGCAAAGAAAACAATTAATCTCTGCTCAATAACACTTCATTCAGTTCTAATAAATATGCCACTAAGCACTATAGAGAAAGGGGGAGAGAGCACGAGGATAGAGGAAGAGAGAAGAGAGAGTGAGCGAGGGAAATCAGAAATGGAATGGTTTGTCAGCTAAGGGGAAGGGGGGAGGCTGTGAATAAGAAGGAAGAAAAAGGCACGAGTGTAGAGTACAGCCAGAGAGAGCTGATGCTGTGTAGATACGGTCCATTCTATTACTAGTCGTCGGTGAGTTAAAACAATATATTTGATGGCCCCACAATGCTGTCCAATCTATGGACAGAGGGCCCACTTGTTGGCTCCTTGACTTATACTCAACTAGAAAATCAAGGGAGGCTGTCGTCCCGTTGGGACAACCTGAGCCGTAGGATCATTAGTTAGAGTACGTCAGAAATATCGGCGCAGGCGTCATACCAAAAACACAGACTCGTGTTTGACGTGACCGACCCACAGTAGGCGAAGAGAGAATAATAATTTTTTGTGGGTTTTTCGATAAAGAAGGGAGGGAAGGGCATACCGAAAGAGCACTCCACTTGCGGGCCCAAAAACGAGTAAGGGCCCCACTCACTCTCCTCCTACAAGCAAAGGATCGATTCTGCTCGCCCCACCTCATCACGTGCCTCCCCCCTAATAGCTAATACAATACCATAGTCCCTCTGCGTTTCTCTTTTGCCAGTTATCTCTTTTCCTAGAGCATTCGCTTGCTCCACTTCGACTAACTACAGTAATTTGTTTAACTTGGCCAGATTCATGGCCTATTTAGTCAGGTGGATGGCTTTATCCCCTGGTTTTTTATTTAGATTATTGGAATTTATTTAATATATTTTTAAATAATTTTAAGTAAGTTTATTTGTGTTGAATTTAATAAATTCATGAAAAAATCATCTTCTAAAAATTTTTCATTCGAATTTAATTAACAGAAAAAACACATTATTTTTGTTATTATCCAATGGTTGGGATTAGCCTGTGCACAATTGAATTTCTTTCATTGGTCCAATATTCTTCGCAATATATATGCGTGCCCTGTTCTCGTGTTTTAAATGGATTATGTACATTGAAATGTGAAGGAAATAAAAATAAAAAAAGGATGAATTAGATAGTGTAAACTTCTTTAATTATATATTTTTTAATAATTAATTTTAATAAATTCAAAAAATGAGATTAAATTATTTTTTTATTTGTCTCTTTCATTTCTTAAATTTATTAAAATTAAAGATTAAAAAAAAGTAAAACATTTTTAGATTTACCCAATACAAATGAATCCCTACTAAAAAAACAATTTGATATCAAATGTCATTTTTATACATCAAGTTTCTGGTTGAGAAATTGGTTTATATATTCTCAAGATTATATTATCATTATTATCTTATACTGTTAAACCAAACTTCCAAGCCATACCCAAATGCATGATTTTTTTTTTTTTTTGAAAAAATTTTGATTGTTTTGAGTTGTCCGGGATGATTGCTTCAAATGTTGGCATCTAAATTCATCACCAAGCTAACCCAACCTTCCCCGTCTGTGAAAAAATAAGTGAAACCTACAAAAAGATAGACAGAGAGAATGAATACTTTAATCAAGATACGCAGTTCAAATGAAAATTCTACGAGCTAGGCGGCTTTGGTTCTTGGATTCAAAAACCAGACAAATATTGAGTAGAACACTTGATGGCTAGCGACAAGATGAGATGCCTTGGGCAACCAATTTGAGTAACTAGCTTGAGGATCACACTTCACCAGAAGGGCCCAAAAGTACAAACTGTCAGGTGAATAAAGTGCCCTATATGCCCACGTTTCACCGTACACCTGACAGTTCCTTGGAGTAAGGGGTATGGATCAGTTCACAATGGTCCACACAGTAAATCCATCATTAATTTTCCTTTAGGCTCAAATTTTTTTGGTCCAGCAAACAATGATCTCCCAATGATAACCCAATGTCTCTTGTTCTCTTATCCCCAAAAAGGAAAGCAAGGTTTTGGGGAGGCACAGTAACTAATCATTTGTTAATTCATTAAGTAGCTCAATTTTATGATGCTTGTGTTGAAATCTTAAATTTTGTACTGATAATGTGAAAGAAGATTTGGGTTACTTTTTGAAATATACTAGGAATTGAGGAATCATTTCAGCCACTTGAGAAAACTGGCCGGCAGTTATCTTCGTTTACATAGAATAGTAATAGTGGACCTGTAAGATTTTGTATGTCTTATGCCTGAGTTGTGTTTGATGCCTGATGGTGACAAAAATCAGTGTGAATTCATGGTTCTTGACTTGGATCGATCAAGATGTTTGTCAAATTAACCATTTGAAAGTGAGAGTGGCTTCGGTTCATTTGTCGATTTCGTGTTTGCCAAAACAAAATCGAGGGGAAAGAAAATGAAAGGCAAGCATTTGTCTTTTGTTTTCTCAGTTCATGCAAACACATTTTCAATGTTGCAATGTGCATGCTTGCATAGTATAGGGTCGGCTATGCGCAACACATACTTTTATATTTTCAACCTTTCATCTTCAAGACTAAAAGTTGAAGGGTCAAATTTCTGATATGGATTTAGCTTTAAAAAAATCATCATTTCATAAATGAGATACCAATTATTTCAAAGTTTTCGCTTCAAACTGACATTTTTTCATAAATTTGCAACCCAATTGCAATGTCAAACTAAACATATGATTATATAATGAAACATTTAATTTATAAAATTTATATTTGATACTCCAACAATATATAAACTCAATGAGCAAATTCTAAATATTAAAAGTCTTAATTGCTAAGAGACCCAATCACATTACATTGTCAGACTAAAGCGTAAACTTTTAATTAAATTTGATTCAACAATAGGTTCTATAGTTCATTTCAAATCGATCAGCATACTTTGCTTCAAAATTATTCCTCTTTATCAAAGTAATTATATACCAACAAAGAAAGTGAAAAAATCTAGCTTCAGCTTCACGGTGCCGCCACACAATATCTTGAATCAGTTCTTACAAACCTGTTTGCTTTTATTTTCTTTATTTTCTCTTTAAAGATCAGCCTAAAGTTCAGGAAAAAGCCATTAATTCATCTATCTCATATATATAATTAAAAGATCAATTTTTGTTATCTCTCTTTAAAATTAAAATCTTGAATCTTAGTTTTTAATTCTTCTCCTCCTTTACCTTTTGGAAACTCAATCTTTTGATATTCAGATTATAAGTAAACAACAGTATTACACGTACACCCTACTAGAAAAGACAAGAATATCGTGCTCTTATCTTTGTCTAGGCTTAAAGGTGAACTCAAAAACAAACTGAGGAAGCCATTGAGGAATGTCCAAAAGCAGATAGTGAAACCTTCAAAATTTTAAATTGAAACCATGGTGGCTTTTTATCTTTAGCCATATATCAAGTTATATATATATATATACACACACACACACACAGAAGAATCAAGCAAATTTCATGAGGTGGGGACTGGGGAGGGGAGCATGGCTGTTGGCACGGCATCCAGTTTGAATTTTGATAAAATCATTCATCGGAATCTAGTGTGGTCCTCAGCATGATGGAATGATGAGAGTGGATTGTGGTCAAGCAATCCAATCTCGTAAAGAGTGCAGTCAATCTGGGTTGTGTTAGGGCCTAGCTTAGAGGGAAGGGACAAGGAGAGTCTTATCATTGATCCTATACTTTTTCAGGCCACATGGAGGCAATGATGCACCCCAGCAGCAAAGTCCCTGATCAATGATCAACTGGTTTCGGGACCATGATCTCATGGGAACAACTAAAAAAGTTTATGCAATTGATATCACTGTCTCTCGATCCAACAGCGTGGTTGCTTTTGATTAGGCAATAACAGCTTGGAACAGTTGCCAAAGTTGGTGAGATACATTTTAGGTTTTAGTGCACAAACAAAGTGGATTAAAAAAAATAAAAGAAAGAATTAACAATTAAGAGTCCTATGAAAATGAAGATAATCTAAAAGTTTGTCTGATGTGCGTCCAGGATCCATGAAATGAATATATCCTGGTGCATGTGAATGATTTCGTGTGACAGATAAGGTTGACCGACTAACCTACTTGCATGGACCTTTTCCAACGTGAACAATGTTGGACACCACATTGTTATATACTAGTATGTATAATTTCTTTCCTCAGCCTCCAAGGAGCGTGTAACACACATTTACTTGCAAATTACTGAATTTACATTTACTTGTCAATTAAGTAATTAATATTTATAACAAGATCTAAGCATCTGTAAATTTTCATTTATTCCATAACATATCCTACAAGGGTAAGCGTTATGTTTGAATTTGTTTGAATTTCTTATTAGATCTATCCAATTATGTGTTGATTTTTTAGTCGGTTTATTTATTTGATTTAATTTAATAATTTTTATATACATATATTATTTTATTATAATTATAACTTTTTTATATTTATAAATTTATTAAAAATTTTCTTTTTTATCAATTAAGATTCAAATCATCATCGTAAAAATATTTTGACAATAAAATTCTAATTGCATCAAGTAGATATAAAATTATTCTTTGAAGATCATTTGAAGAAAAAGTTATATCAAGAATAAAATATCATATGTTTTCATTATAAAATAATTTTTCCTTACATATTCCTCACAAGTCACAATTTGATATAAGATTTGACCAGAAATTAAACACCTTTTTAACTTGTTGGTTAGTATTAACTAAAGTTCCTTAAAAAAAAATTATTAAGTAATACTATCAGCCAATATTGCCTGGCTGAGTGGCACACTCATTTGGACTGACGCGTGGGTTATACGGACTCAAAATTGGGGGTAAGCGGCTGTAAACAATTGCGACACTGAGTTGGTACAGTTTTATTGCGCATGCGTGACACCTCCAACGGTGACTGCGGCGGCAGAGGTCAAATCAAAAGGAAAACGCCACGCCATGTATTCACTTGCCTCAGAATTTGTAATAATAAAAACGAATCTGAGGGGTCGGTGGACAGGATCTTTATTTAGAGGACTTGAAACCCCTCCATTATCTTATTCGCCCTATTTCTCTTTTACTACTGTTTTACTACACTATTTTGTTCTCAACCTCCCACCTAGAATGATTGTTGTTTCTTTTTGGTCCCCACTCTGGCCACTCGGCTTTTATTTGATAAAATTATTCATAAAAGAAAACTACAATTATAATTAAATAATTATATTTAAAGGAGAAGATCAATTTATATTAAAAACTTTTATATATTTTTTAAATTTTAATAAATTAAAAGGATGAGATTTTTTTATTTATTTCTTTTATTTTTGAATTTATTAAAATTAATGATTAAAAAATATGTAAAACTTTTTAGTTTTATATTAGTATAAGTTAATCCCCTTATATTTAATGTAAAATTTTAATGAATTAAATTAAACAAACAAATTAACTAAAAAATTAATAAATAATCAATTAAATTTAACATAAATTAAACCTAATTCATATATCATAAGATTTGATCTTGAACTTTTCATAATTTCAAAATTTTTTTAGCATTAAAATAAGACCTAATTGACTTGTGTGCCAATTGACAATATCCTCCTACCATAATTCTTTTGTCATTTTTGTTCACGGCGTGCGTGATTCGAATGCTCTGAGTTAGTTTAACTATAATGAGTTACTTTAATTATAAGGGAAAACATAAAGTGAATAATCCATTGGTTC